ACTCAGCCATCAAGGCATCGCGAGAACTGTCAAGACCAAGCGAAAGCGAAGATGACGAAGGTCGAGCGACAAAGACCTCCTTACTGAAGACTATCCGGCAGCGGGCGCTGCAGATTCTGGGTAGGCTGTTTGAAAACTGTCCGGACTTTGACTGGAAACCGTACGCAAGTGTTCTAGTCAAGGAGATGGTCGAGCCCAGGCTCGAGCAGCTGCCCATTCAGACAGCCCAGTCCGTCTCAGGACTACTCCGATTGTTCGCGGCATGGTCTAAATCAAGCCGGACAGCTCCGTTCTTGGTAGAACTCAACCCTGCCATTCTGCACAAGATCATCGACTGCCTGGAGATACCATCGGCTAAGGACGAGGTCAAGTGCTTTGTCTTGAACGACATCGTTCGAAGCATCATTTCTCTTGTCACCGAAGAAGATGAGACACCGACGACAGAGTCGAAACTCCTCAGGAATCGTATCCATACCGATATCATCCAGCCATACTCAACTGCGATTCTCCACCGAGTTGGTCAACTACTTCGCCAAAGCCCTGGTAAAGAAGTGCTCGAAGCCGGTGTACAAACGGTGGCAGACCTAGCGCCCCATGTAGTCGGTGCCACGGAATCCCGGAGCATGATCGAGATCGCAACTTTCTTGCTTCGCCAGCCTTCAAAGCGCGTCAACCCACGTACTAAGCTTGGCTTACTCAAGATCCTTCATGAATTCATCCAGCGATGTGATAGCCAGAGTTTGCTTGAGCTCTTTGACACAACCTACGATGCTATCTCACCTATGTTCAGTTTCGTTCAGGATCGAACAGCCCGAAGCTTGCTTTGCGATGTTCTCCAGGATCTCTCCGACACCAACGGCGATCTCACAGTCATCGCAAAGCTGTGCCATGATCTGAATTCATTCGCTACTGGACGGCTCGATGAACCAGACTTTGAACGCCGCTCGCAAGCTTTCAATGCCATAAACGAAGAGAATTATCGATCATACACGCTCACACAGTGGAAGCCTCTAGTCTACAACATGCTGTATCTCATCAAGGATAACGACGAGCTCAGCATTCGAGTCAATGCATCACTTTCTCTACGCCGTTTCAGCGAGGTCGCGTCGAACGAACAGTTCAAGGAGTTCGTATCAGCTGCAGTCCTACCCGGAATTCAGAGTGGTATGCGTGAGAATTCGGAGCTTGTGCGGGTCGAATACCTTGCCGTCCTGGAACATCTGGTCAAGACACATTCAGACTGGGCTCCCGTAGCTGATCTGCATGTTCTCCTCTCGGAGGACGATGAAGCATCGTTCTTTGGCAACATTTTACACATCCAGGGTCATCGACGACTGCGAGCCTTGCGTCGTCTGGCTACCCACGCGTCCCGCCTCCGAGGTACCAACATCTACCACATCCTGATACCACTTCTCGAGCACTTCGTCTTCAACAAGGGTGACGACGAAGCTGCGGACAGCCTTCTGGGTGAGACGATCAAAACACTCACATCTTTGACCGAAGGTCTGGAGTGGCCGCAGTTCCGTTCCCTGCTCAAACGCTACATCGGCTACCTGACAAGCAAGGAAGACCTGCAAAAGCCTATCATCCGATTGATCGCAGGCCTCATGGACGGTTTGAACCAAGCAGGACGTGCCAAAGGTTACATTGCTAAACCCTCCTCTCAAGGCGCATCCGAGGCCGAGGAAGCTGAGGACGCTATGGAGGTTGACCAACCCTTATCGACTCTGGCCAAGACGCTCCCACAACAGGACAAACTAAGCACGGATCTGATCAGCAACTTCTTGCCCGACTTGACCAACTTCCTACACAAGAAGGATGAGGCTACCGTCAGTTTACGAGTGCCAATTGCAACCGCGATTGCCAAGATTCTCTTGATTCTGCCGCCGCTCGAGATTGAGACACGTCTACCGGGCGTTCTATTGGACATCTGCTACATCCTGAAGAGCCGCGCGCAAGAAGCTCGCGACATGTCGAGAAATACGCTCAGTGATATTGCTACGATACTGGGCCCTGGCTACGTGGGCTTCATCCTGAAGGCTTTGCGGACTGCGCTCCAACGCGGTTACCAACTCCACGTTCTGTCGTTCACTTTGCATACCATTCTGGTCAAGCTCGCCGACCAAACGAACCCAGGTGATCTTGATTACTGTCTAGTGGAGCTAGTTGATGTTGTAAGTGTCCCGACAGAATGCATCCACTTTGGGAACAAACTAACGTAGTATTCAGATCATGGACGACACTTTCGGTGCTGCAGGTCAGGAGAAGGATGCCGAAGAATACATCTCTAAGATGAAGGAGGTGAAGAGCAGCAAATCTTTCGATTCTATGGACATCGTAGCACGGTGTGCCACCCCCGCGCATATCATCAAGCTCGTGCTTCCGATCAGGTCTCTTCTGATCGAGAAGCTCAATGCAAGGATGGTTCAAAAGATCGACGAGCTTTTGCGACGCATCGGACTCGGTGTTCTTCAAAACCCCACGGTGAACAACAGGGATATCTTGGTATTCTGTTATGAGCTCATCCAGGAGGCATACGCTGCAACCACGACCACTGAAAAGAAGGCCAAGATCGACCCCAAGAACAAGCGGTATCTGATCAACAACCGCGGAGCAGCCAAGTCTGGCGCGAGACTTAGCACCAACTCTTATCTATTCAAGATGATCCGCTTCGGTATGGATATTCTTCGGACTGTGCTCCGCAAACACGAAGATCTCCAAACTCCCCAGAACTTGGCTGGCTTCCTTCCGATCATTGGTGACGCCATGGTACAGGGACAAGAAGAAGTGCAGGTCTCGGCTGTTCGCCTTCTCACGACCATCATCAAGGTACCGATGACGGAGCTGGACACCAACTGCCCAGTGTACATCGACGAAGCGATGCGCGCCATCAAGGGCGCATTGTCGTCTAACACGGAGCTTGCGCAAGCCTCATTGAAGCTAGTCTCAGCAGTCCTACGCGAGCGACCAAACGTGCCAATCAAGGAAAGAGACGTTGGTCACCTCCTCAAGCGCATGATTCCCGATCTGGATGAGCCAGATCGATCAGGTGTCACTTTCGGTTTCCTCAAGGCTGTCATGAACCGTCACATTGATGTTCCTGAGATGTACGAAGCCATGGACAAGGTGGCCGAGATGATGGTTACCAACCAGACGAAATCCGCGCGCGACATCGCCCGTTCCCACTACTTCCAATTCTTGACGTCATACACGCAGAGCGAGAAGCGCTTCAAGAAGCAGATCGAATTCCTTCTCAAGAACCTCCGCTACGAGCATGTGGAAGGCAGGCAGTCAGTCATGGAGGCGCTCGATCTCATCATCGGAAAGGCGTTGCCTCGTTTCCCTGAGAAGACACAGTACGAGTACCACGGTATCATGTTCCTCCCGCTGATCAACACCGTGGCAAATGACGACTCGCCCAAATGCCGAGAGATGGCTAGCTTGCTCATCAAGAGGCTGTTCCAACATGCCAGCGACAAGCGATTACAAAGTTTCGCGTCTGACCTGAAGAGTTGGCTGGAACAAGACGACAACGTCGGTCTGAAGCGTCTGGGTATTCAGTGCTTTGGGTTCTACTTCGAAGCAATGGAGGAAGAGGAAGAACCAAAAGAGGTAGCATACGTGCTTGAACGGCTGGACGCAACGATCGATGAGTGCCTGACACGGCGCGACGAAGACGACTGGGAGTTGTTGTACTACTCTCTCACTTTGCTCTCCAAGATCTGCAAGAAGTACACCGATACCATGTTTGCATCGAACAAGGATAGTCTATGGACCGCAGTGCAAGCCAGCGCAACATACCCACACTTGTGGGTTAAGCTCAAGGCTGCGGAGCTGTTGGGTACATACTTTGCCCATCTGGGTGTATCGAACAAGGACACTGGTCTTGGAGCTCTGCCTTTGGAAGGATCAGGTGGTTTGCAGCTAACAGAGCAGAGCATGACGCAGCTCTGCAATGCCTTCCTGAGAAACCTGCTCAATCCCGAGGTCTCAGAACAACTCTGCATGCAAAGCGTAAAGAACATCGCTTTCCTCGCACGCTGCCTCGCTGTCAACGGCGCAAAATGGCACTGGCAGAAAACCGACGACGAGGAAGAGGCAGGAGAAGTCGCCGCCCCCACAAACGGCGCCGCATCAGCCTTAGACGACGAAGAAGACTTCTCCGGCTTCTCTCCTCCACCCGAAACGAAGAAGCCCGAGAAAACAGAAGAAGCCCCACCAACAGCCATTCACCGCCTCATGATCCGCCTCTCCGGCATCGTCCGCAAAGACAAGAGCACCATGAACGCAAAAACAACAATAATGTCCCTCTTCGACACCATCGCCGCAAAGTTCCCTCTCGAACCTCTCTCATCATCCCTCCCCCACCTCCTCACCACGCTCTCCACCCTAACATCCACCGACGCCACGTTTCCCAAAGCCAGCGCCGCGCTCGCCCCCACCTCCAACAACAACCCGCCTACAGACCCTTACAAAGCGCTATCGGATAAGGCGCGCGAAGTCATGAATACGTTGCAGAAGCGTCTGGGTACGCAGGAGTATCTCAACGTTATGGCGGAGGTACAGCGCGGGGTCAGGGAAAGGAGGGAAGAGAGGAGGCGCAAGAGGAAGGTAGATGCTGTGTTGGATCCTGAGAAGGTGATGAAAGAGAAGAGGAGGAGGCATGATGTTAAGAGGGTTAATAAGAAGGCGAGGAGTGCGGGAGAGAAGGGGAGGAGGCAGGGGTGGTAGTGTGATGGCATGTGTGCATTTTCATGGCGTTTTGGGGGAATTGGGATTGGGGCAAAGAAAAGTTTAGCATTGCATAAGACATGGATAGCATAGTTGATGGAGATGTTAGATTGTGAATGACATGTGATACCCTTCATTAGTGCAAACCCTCTTTGGTGTATGTTTCCGGATCTGTTGCGATAGCGACAGCCTAGTGAAGCGCCTTCGGTAGTCCCTCGCAACTCACGAGTACGTGACCTATCTTCTGCACTCGGTCTTCAACCGTCTTGTTAGACATCTTCGGTACTTGGCGCAACGCCTTCGGTTTCTTTGTCCTCATGGAGGCAGCATTGACCAATGAACATGTGTTCTGCGTCGAGTTCCGCGCTGGCTTCTTGAATCATGCTGCGGAGGGCATGTGCTGTCGGTCGCTGCTTGCGGTCGTGCTGTAACATTTTTCGTATCCATTCGCTCGGTAAGTTGTCCGACCGTGGGCCTGGGAGTGCCTCCATGCGTGCGATCCAAGCTTCAAGATCGATGTCTGTTGAGCTATACCCTCTGTCATCACCGATGTGCGCCTCCAGATCATCCTTACTTCCTCCTCTCAGTATTGTCCACATCTGCAGATATACGCAGCCCAGCGACCAGATGTCTGAGTATGAACTTTGTGCTTCATAACTAATTACTTCAGGTGCGGCATATCGTCGTGTGATGGACTCCGGCCGTCCCTCAGATTCGTCGCCATCACGGTCCGACCAGTCAAGAGATGAGCTAAAACCGGTGATGTATACTTCGCGGTTTTTGAGTAGAATGTGCGAAGGTTTCATGTCATTGTGGCGAATTTTGTTCTTGTGAAGGAAGCTACAAAGTGTGCATGAAATCAGTAGTGGCTCCAGACCTAACAACTATGATTCAAAAGCAGGCTTACCTCAGTCCAGACATTAGGCAGCCAAAATACGGACGTAATTGCCAACGTTTGTCGTCAACTCTATTGTCTTCAAGCTCGTCAAGAAATTTCGACAGATCTTGATCTGCACGAGACATTATAACGACCATCGTATAGGGAGTTGCGTAGCCTGTTCATGGTTAGTCAGTGTATTAGACTCATTCAAGCTTTGAATGTGTTCTCTTACTTCCGGCAAGGTCAACAATATGACGGTGGACCTGAGATGCAAGTCTCATGATGTGGGTATGGCTCACAAAATTCCTCATAGCTTTTTTTCCCTTACGGAGAGAGCGTCCCCTTTGATACTTTTTCAGGGCATACTCTCTATGTGTAGTCTTGCTCGAAACTCGCTCAACAATCGCAGACCATCCACTACCCAGAACACCACGAAAGTCCAATGGAACCTCATCCTCATCGCTGAAGTGGTAATGTTCAGCTTCCAATGGTTCCGAATTGAGAAAATTGAGAGATCCAGAATTGTAGACAGCATGCTGAACTTCGAGGAATTCCACACGAGCAATTTCCTTTGTGAGCAACGTCTTCAGGCTACGTCCATCGAATGGAAACCAGATATCGGTGATTTCTTCCTCGATGAATTTATCGATAGCATCCAATTGGCCAATCAATCGAAGAACAGTGTATATTCTGGGTATGCGACTCCATGTATCCTTTGAACACCGCCGTAATAATGTCGCGATTTCTCGTATGGTTGTCTCAGTAAAGATGACAGCCTCTGTAGAAGGATTGGTCTCTGGAAAGAATCGGTCCAGAAGGCTCTCAGGCGAAGCATGAGGCGCCGTGTCGTCCTTCTGAGCCTGAGAGAATTTGGTAGTGATGACACCCCAATCGACATCTTGAGAATCTGGAACAGGGTTGCCAGGCCCATCTGACAGCTTTTCGCCATCTTCGAAGAGGTCAGACGTAGGTCGAGTATCAGGTTCAGATGCCTGACCCGTTGATTCCAAACCACTGTCTTCATCGCTAGACCGATGCTTCGCTGATTCGGAGCGACTTCCATCGTCGCTGAGCAAAGCCTCCAGAGACTGTTGGTTCTGTGAAGACTTCGAGTCTGCGTCATCGTCGGACAATCGCGGTAGCGCGAACAAGGCGATTCTTTCCAGATGGCGAGCGACATGATCGCAAAGGCTTTTAGATTTCCTGAAGCACAGATTGCATTTTCCCGAAGAACTGCGGTCGGAACACCGGAACATAGGTGCCAAGCTAGCCATCTGCTCCCATGAAAGCTTGGTGCCATGGCTCTGCAACATGTGATCCATGAAAAGCTCTTGGGTTTTGTGTATGCCGTGTCCTTCAACGTTACAGTGCCATACACAGCGGTGGTCTTGAGTCTCATGCAAGAACCATGCGTTTCTGCTTGGGAAAAAGTGGTCTTGAAGACTGCAGCCGGAAAAGGTACAGACGTAAGGTTGAAGATCGCGTAGGACGTGTTTCTTCCATGACCTCTCCGATTTGATGTATTGTATGATGTTGCAGTAGGGGCAGAGAAAATTGGTAAGCGGAGTTCCGTCTACGTTCTTCGGTATTGGAGGTACAGGAAGGCCTATGCTGTTGATCGCGTAGCTGGATGCCCGAGAATGATGTGAAGATGCAATAGAAGGGGGGTAGTCGAACTTCTGTAAGTCAGGGCGATCAGGAGGACTTTGATGAGTCGTAGCTTTCGATGGACGTGAGATGCCAGAGGCTTGTTCAGAGGGGGGTATTGTGTAGACTATAGCTTCTGTTCCTGGGTTCACATCAACAGTGGGTCTAGATGAGAGGCTATTTTGTGCCCGCTCTGGCTGTATTTTCTGGTTGTGGTTTTCTTGATAAGCCAGAATTTGCCTTCTGAGAGATACAAGTCGCCCAAGTCGAGCGGCTATCGTAGGATCGAGTTCAGGATGCAAATCGCGTACGAATTGCGCATCATACTGCTGATATAGCGCGAATTGGGTCGAGATTCGTTCCGTGATTCGTTCAAGTGCGGCTGGGCGTCGAATAGGCATCTTGTACAAACAGTTGATGATGAAACGTATCAACTCCAACGTTTTCGGGAGCTCCAGATTGTTGCTTCTAGCTGAAGAGGATACATCCGAACCTTCAGAATGCCGTTTAGTTGCCTTCTCGTCTTGTTCTTCGCTCGTATCAGAATCTGGGCCAGAGATAGTACCAGAGCTCGCTGTAGAGTCAATAGCTTCAACACTTAGATTGACATCCACCATTTCCTCGAAAGGCTTCGTCTCATTTTGAGCTATCTGAGTTGCTGATAGTGTCAACGTTGAGTAGGCTGAGGCGCCGAGTTCCAGTTTACTTACCTCTCACGAGCTTTTATGTTGTTTCGTAAGCTTGGGCATTAGCGATATAAATGACCACGCTGACCGACGAAGATGACAAAGAGAGCACGGGAACTCGTTGGCGTAGAAGGATATTTCGAACACCGAAAACTCTGAGAAAGGACCATGAAGAATACAACGCTACCTACATATTTGTTCAGACTGTTGAGAAAGCTCACTACCTATTCACCGTAAGCCTTGGTTGTGGTAGAGGGCGACAGGTGGTAGCTATACCCTTTCTTGGTAGAAAGGCGACTTGCGTAAGCGGTAATCGAGGGAAATCTCATATGAGTCCCCGGAGTACATGGCGCCCACATTGTTCGCCCATAGGATGAGTTTGTCCAGTTCCGATTCGACATCTCTGGGTGACATCTGATTGCCTATGTCACGCTTCGGGGAACGAACAGCGGACAATAGGGCCTGGAAAGAGCCGTGACAAGAAGCATAGAGGTCTGCGAGTCGGGAGGCCATCGCGATGAGGCGCGGTAGCGACTGAACCCATCGATAGGTCTACTCAGGTAAGGTGTTGAGAGTAGGAAGGCTGAAGGCGGGGGCATGACGGGTCAGGCTGCGCTAGGCTGCGTTCGGCCTAGGGCAATCATATGCCAGTCAGCCACCTGGGCATGACCTCGGGAAGGCTGTACAGCACCAAGTAGCATACGCAGTAGTCTTCAATAGCCTGCATACTCAAATATTGAGGTCAGAACGGGCTGGAATAGACCCAGTAGTAGTAGCAGTAGTCTCCATATGGTAAATATTAGGCCATATCAGTACATAGACTGATGTAACCAGCACTCTTATTCCTGTGGCTCGGCCTTTGTATCCCAATGTAGCTGGCAGGCAAGTGCAATCATTAGCGATACCGCTGTACTTTTGAATACTAACCAGTCAAGAATCTTGCATCATACTATATATAGCTTTAGAACCCTTGAAGATACTAATGCATGGAGCCCATCAACAATGGGGAAGGTTCAAAGTTAGAACACATTTACTTATTGAACGAACCTCTCTTCATCCATTATGTTCAACCTCTACCAGACTCTCCCTTCATTTTCCTGGAGCGATCGCATCGTAGTCCTCTTTCAGTGGCGTAACGACTCGTTCAATGAAATTGGCCCGAAATTTGTCGTCATCCAAGCTATAGTTGAACGGGTACCCGAGATCACACTGAACACAAGACGCAGCCGCCAGCGCGAATCTATCGTGCTCACGGTTTTGGATGTCTCCTAACAATCTTGCTGCGACGAGCATCTCGGTTGTGGGTATCGCGTTTCCATCTGAATCCAGCTCATCAGGTAGGGCCAAAGCTAACAATCGTTGGCCGTATGTTAGTTCCATAAGCGACACACCAAGCCCATACAGCAACGGATTTCTTGCTAGCTTTCTCCCCTCAGATATGACAGGAAGACTTGCACTCGTCGCGTTGGTGGCGATAAAAGTTCGTGATACGTAGGCTGGCTCGAACAACGGGATATCTGGAGTAGACACATTCGTAGGAAAAAATACTGAGTCTTGGCCATAGTCAGAGCCGATCCACGGGGTGCCGTGAAGCTGCAATACCGCCACAGCCATTTGTAGCGCCACAGTTATTCTGGTTATTGTTAACAATGTCTACATAACGAAAGCTGACCTTGCGTACTTTTCCTTGGGGGATACACCGTTCTGTAGCCGTTTGCGCATTATCTCCCCCAAAGACATTATCGTTCGTGTGTTCCGTGACCGATGACAGTGCAGTGACTCGTGTATGTGGAATCTCCATGGATCGTCGTTCAAATAACCAATACACGACCCTGTTCTTGAAGGAGTTTTGAGGGTATGGCAGATATTACGTATCTCTGGTGCAGTATAAGTCTTCTGAGACTTCAGTGCTAGAGACGGGATGGGCGATATGTTGGGAGCAGACGAGGTCGAGGTTGCAAAGCGTACCGATGGCGTACCCAATCCCACGGACCGTCCTTGTGATCTGATCAATGCGTAAGCTTTATCTCATGCCAACCACACCGGCTCGGTAGCGTGCTTACGAATCGACACGCTCAGGTTCTATGTCAATGTCACGCCAATTCCAAGGAGGTAATAGATTGTGTCCGGGTTTCTTCTCCAGGGACAGAATGCACTTAACACGGAAGCCGCTTTGAGTCGTCTCATTCTTGATGCGCAGCTGCAGGCTGGCTTGGTGAAAGTGTTCACATGAGCAAGGACATGATAACCGGGATTCGAGACTTTTGAAGACACGCTTCGCATGGTCACGAACAACCAGCCAGTGCGTGGAGTCGGTCTGAGTCTGCTGCTCTCTTCGTGGGGCCTCCAATTTGACTGCATTGTCGACGAAGCTACCAATACTTTCAATTTCTTTGCTGATATCTTCGATGATGGCTTGGCAGCGCCTGAGTTGGTATATCTCCGATAACCCTTTTCGCATGAAGAAATCCGTTCGTTTTGTCTCATCTTCAAGGAGCTGGTTTCCTGATTTTGTGATCCAAGATGGCTAATTCTTAGCGATGAAAGGAGTAATTATTAAACATCTTACCAGATAGTCGTCACTCAACTTTAG